TATCTTGTGATTTTAAATTATCTTATCAAAGTTGATGATTAATTGCTTTCAAGGTAATTCTTTTTTCAAAATTAGATTCTTAGTGTAAATTACACTAAATGCCCAATAACTTTTGCAAAACCCAATATCTTTTGGGCAACTTTTTTTAATCCATCAACAACTTTTAAAATGTCTTTTTATGTCGCTTTTTGGTTCTAATTTAATGGGATTTTTTATAAAATGCGGTCATTTGTTGGGGGGTTTCTACAATTCCAATAAGTTATTGGGGGTTTTGTGTGATTTTGAAAGTTAATGAGGATTTATTGCAATATTCTGAAAGATCATGAAGGTTTAATGTAATTTACCCATTTTGTTATTAGAACTAAAAAAGAAAATTGATATAAGAACATTATTTTATTTAGTTATTTAGTGTCATATTGCATTATCAGCTACATAATAATAGATAAAATATCATACGGGAAAGTGAAATATGCATTTCAGATAGGTTTTTTTTTTAATTTATGGCAATTCAATATCGTAGTCACTTTCAATAAACAATTTCAGACAGTTTATTTTTGCACCTTCAGTTTTACTTTGCAAACAAGCAACCCTCTGTAAGTCAAAGTGTAATTGAAAAGAAAAAGGAATCTCTATTAATAAAAAATAACTGATGCACATCTCTTTGTTATATGTAATATCTAATTGATTTCTCAACTTTTTAAACTTCGTATTCAATTTTTTGTTGTTAAACAACCATTAAAAATAATCATGACTAAATGGTTAAGTTCATCTTAGTTCACATAGATGTTGATTATGCAAGAAACATGGAAATAATGACAAACAAAAGCCCAATTTTTCAAATCAACACTAACCCTAATCAAATGCATAACGCCATAATTTTTTTAAAAAACTATCAATTAATTGTCAATAGCTTGAATGGGTAGTATTGATTTAAAATGAGAACATGAATGCTAAATTAGAAACAAAACCATAAAATTTATGGATCCCATAAAATTCAACACCTGTAACATCATCTGAGTACTAAATGGCTTTTATAACTCTGCTAACAGAATGCTATGGGAATATATTTGGGCTTCATTTATTTGGGTTTTTTCTTGATGAACTTCATGTTTGTTAGCGATACGATGACCACAAATGGAGTCTTCTATTAGAGATACATCACAATAAACAAATCTGAATATGTCCTCATCATAATAAACAAATGGAGTCTTCAATATTTTCTGCACCTTCGACATCTCCGACCTCTTCAACATCATCTTCGATATCATCTTCACTTTTATCTCCGATATCATCCTCAACATTATCATCGATATCATATTTGGTATGACGAAAAAATATATCATTCAACATTGTTATCTGTGTCGTCTATCCATAAGCTATCGGACGTACCAACACGCACATTCAGATCCTCATATTCAGTACAACATTCCCCATAATATGACAATTATATATATTTTTCATCAAAACCTGATTTTATTAGGTGGATCCGTATATTATTTCTATTCTGCAGCTTCATATTCCTACACCTATAACATGGACAATACATAGCACCACTACTTAAATATTCCAGATTCATTTCGACATACAGCATGAAGGCGTCACATCCCTCCTTATATCGCGTGTCACGAAATCTTTCAAACCGTAGAATATCTATCTACGGTTTGTCAGGAATTATCCTCATTTTTCCATTATATATAGTTACTAACTACGATTAATCTCACTACTACTAGTAAATTCATGACTCTTCATGACAATATACATACAACCACTGTTTTAAATATCGGCCTATAATCGATATTATCGGTCGAGTTATCGGATTTGGGAGCTATCCGCTAGGATAAATTGGATTTTTAATCGGTTATCGTTTTTGTAGGTTTATCGGCGATTTATCGGCTTTATCGGCACTTATCGGCCGATAAGTAAGACTTTTTTATCGGGATTATCGGGATTATCGGCCCATTTTGACTAACATTATATTTTTTTAAGGCTATGATGCAAGTTTCGCTTTCTACAATTTGTTAGTGATTCTAAACATGATGATTTATATTTTGGTATGTTTATATTTCATTAAGCATGATTAGATTATATTTTTTAATTGTTATATTATATATACACATCATCCAGTATATCACTCCGATAAATACTACTTATCCCCGATATATCCCCGATTTCCGCTATCCGATAAGGATTTTGACTGTCCGATAAATTCTCGATAACCGATATTTAAAACCTTGCATACAACACACATCATACTTACGTACATATATCATTTAATAATAAAAATATTTTTTTGCATAAAATATATCTAAAACGTATATAGAAACCAATTAGACCACTCTATCGGCTATTATAGGAAGGCTTCTATTCATTAAGAATATAGTAATGCTTACATCCAATTTCATATACTTTATATATTTTTATTTCTTAAAAATTTCGACAGCACCAATAAACTGTTCTTCCTGTACACTATGCGGATATTATTATGCGTATCAGTAATATCCCGAAACGTAGAACAACATACGTTTATTGTACATGGAGAACAACGAATACGTGCTGACGAAACTTTTAAGAAATGAAAACATACAAAGTATACAAAGTTAAATGTATGCAATATTATATTCCTAACCCGTCCGAGAATGACATATACAATAAGTACGAATTTCAATACCAATTCTTTTTTCGTATAATATAAAGTAAACGATCATTTAGGGGAGAAAACTTTGTCTCCTACCCAAATATGAGTCGTCTATCTTATATTATAAGTCTAAAGAATTGGATATAATTATTGGACGAAAGTCTAGGGATAACGTTATTTTTTTCATTCATCTAAATTGGATATATAACACATTATTAAAAATTATAATGTATTATATGTCACTCTATTTTTTGAAAATTTTTAATTTCACATATTTTCACATCACTAACTTACATAATCACACATACTTATAGCATGAACGAAACTTACTGTAAATAAGCTATCATGAATCGGGTGTTCAATTAGGGTGAATAGTTTACAAGTGTTTAATTAGATTTATGATTACTTGTGTTATTCAAATGGGGGTAAAATATAGTTTTGTTAGGGTTAATATATAACTGAAAATTTTCCATTTAGACTTACAAGATTCAAACTCGTTTATTTTTGGATCGTAATTTAGGGGTTTTAAACTAAATTTCGAAATAAACAATATAAACTTTAAAATTTTTAAATTTTTTTTATGAAAAACATACCTTTTAAGGAGATGAGACGATAAGATCCAAAAACGACGGGCGCGCTGCGATGGTCTGGTCGGGCTGAGGAAGAGGGTGTGGGAACGGAACACGAGCGGGGAGGGGAGCTAGGGTTTTAGGGTTTTTTCTTTAATTGAGGGGGGTGGAGGGGCGGCGAATAGAGGAAGAGGGAGAGGGGAGAGAGGGC